GATTGATACTGGACGGTACTTTCGACTGAAACTGCCAATCGATCCCGGCCCCGCAAAGGGCTGACCAACGGTCTCTGTAGGAATGATCCTCTATAAACACCTGGACATTCTGATCATCATTTCCTACGCCGCGGCCACCGTAAGCTGTAAAATAGGCCGCGCCCAGTTGAATGAATGGAGTCAGAAAATTTCCTTTGTCTCCAATACTGATCTTGGGCCCGGAGCCGATCATAAACTTCAACTGGCCCATCTCATAAAAATTCCTGCTTTTCTTTACTTCCGGTACCGGGAACTGCAGGCGCGTCAGCCCCATGGATGCATCACCAAAAACATTAAATCCATTTTCGGTATGATAGGATCCACCTATAAAAACATTGCCACCTACCTGGAATGGCCATTGGGATTTATATTTAAGTATGGATTTATCTCTTAAAAAAGCATCATACCCCACACCCGCTCCTGCGTAACTGCTCCATTGCTGGGCATTTGCGGTATTAAAATAAAATGAACATAGAAAAATGCATAACAACCATTTCAACATAGCCTGATAACGTATTCCCACTGTCAATTATTTCAGCAATCTCCGATATAATTAGACAAACACACATTATTAATTATACTTCTAAAAAATTATCTTTATAGAAAATAAACGAGCACGCCAATGGAAGCAACCGTTACCAGGGAATCACCGGCCTTCAATACCTCTTTACCCACAACGATTGGAGAAGTGATCAGCAGGCTTGCTGCTATTATTAAAGAATGTGCGGCAACTAACGACCGGGCGGGTTATTTTGCCATCTTATATTATAAAGTCACCTGCCGTATCCAGGAATGTATTGCAGAAAACCAATTTGAAGATGGTGTACGGATGGAGCAACTGGATGTCATTTTTGCAAACCGGTATATTGAGGCTTATGAAGCCTGGAAGACAGGAGAACGTGCTTCTGCGTCCTGGCTGATTGCGTTTGAAACCGGCAAAATAAATACCCCGCTGGTATTGCAACATCTTTTGCTGGGGATGAACGCCCATATTAACCTGGACCTGGGCATAGCCACCTCAATCATCATGAAAGATTTAAGGCTCAACAACATTCAAAAAGATTTCAATACAATTAACCGGATCCTTGGGGAACTGACCGAAACAGTGCAAAAATCACTGATCAGCGTAAACCCGCTATTAAACCTGTTGCCGTTGCATAAATATGATACGGATGAAATGCTGGTCGGCTTTAGTATGGATACGGCAAGGGATGGGGCCTGGATGTTTGCACATGAACTGCATCATAAATCAGGTGCTGATTATGACCATTGTTTTGCCATACGA